AACAGCCGAACTGCAGAACTGCAGTCAGCTGAAGTGGCCTGCAGTGCTGCACTCTAACCACTGCGCCACCTCGGCCACCTCGGAAGAGAGGCTTCCCTAGCGGGCTGGGGGTGGGGACCCTGAGAACATTCAGCCTCCAAACACCCTGGCAGCATCGGACGTAATGGGGTCATAGAAGCCTCCCCCAGCTGAGCTCCACTCGCCGCAATTCAGATGGAGACCGGAAGAGGAGAGAGAGAGAGAGAGACCATCCTGCTGCCTCCTTCCCCCAAATCCATGTTTTCCAGCTTCCCCATCTTCCCCTGCCCAAGGATTCTGTGTGGTCTCCCTTCCAGTCCTGTTCTATGGCGCATCTGGAGAGTGGGGGGAGAGGGGCTGCTGCGTGCTGGGAAAGACCCCCGTCTTTGCCACCCAAGAGCATCTGCAGGGATCTCGGGCCCACGAAGGGCGAGATCCACGTCCCCCAGGAGAACAGCAGTCAACATAGGCTGCTTCATAGTGCATTGCAGCGCTCTCTGAACTCTAGGGCAGGGCTCCTGAACAGGGGGCCGATTCACGGTCCCTCACACCGTTGGGGGGCTGGACCGGGCGGGTGGGCGTGGCTAGGTGGTCATGTGACTGGGTGGCCAATTTAGCCGTCCATTTTGCCTTTGTCCTTGCTGTACTTGCCCAACCCAAGGAATCTATTTACTTAAGACCCCCCACACACACCCCAAAGGGAAAAAGAACACAAACTTTCTTGCCACTTCATTACAACAGCAGCTTCAGGCTCCTTAAAACAGGCCATTAAAAAAAGGAATAAAACAGAGAGTATTACCACTCCACGGGCTGGATACTTGGCATTGGGGATGCCCACTCTATAGAGTCTCTTAAGTCAGGGGAGTTTTAGGGAAGTATAGTCCCCCTCCCCCAAATTTGTGCCTCGACGTCCCTCGTACCACTTCCAGCTGGGGTGGCCAATGCGCCGTGCTGGTGGGAACTCACAGGGCTATTCTGCAAGCTGGACCCTGAAGAGGGCAGGAAAGGTGCACCGGAATCAGACGGCTGACGTCCAGAGGTGCCTTTCAAGGCAGGGGAGGGGAGAGAATGGGAGCCGGAGGGGGGGGGGAAGGTGCTTAGAACAGCTAAGGGAGGGATCTGAGAACATCAAGCAGCGTCCTGGGCCACATGCTCTCCTTCCAGACTCCAGCGAGTAATTGAGGCTTTCCTAACCACGCTGCCTTCAGGCTTTCAAAAGGCCAAGCCCAGGCCCTTGTTTAAGTTCAAGGGAAGCGCTGGGCTCTTTCCTCCTGCAGAACAGGCCTCCATTCTTCTCTGGACGCACCCACCAGCAAGGCTCCTCCGAATACTTGGCCACCGGCACTGGCCAGGGCCAGAGATCTGCATTGTCCAAAGCGCCAGGCTCTGTTGGACGCCTGGTGACATTTCACAGACGCCCAGCCCTGGCAGAGCCTCTCCGCCCACCGCGCTTCTCCTCCTTCCCCCTCTCCCTTCACCAGCCCTAAACCCGGTATTAGAGTCCCTGGATTTAGACGGCTGGATGCAGGAGGAAGGGCCCGTTTACAATGAAAGATCTCTGGGCTGAAAGTATCCTCAAAAGCATGAATGGTGAAGCCAGAAAGGCCGTTGCACATCTGGATCCTAGAAGGACCCGGAGTTGTTATTCATTGGAAGCCAACCTGCTTTCTCCAACCTCCTAGGCGTGCCTCTGCCTCACACCTCCCCCCCCCCAGGGATACCCCCCAACCCAGAATCTTCTACCTCCTCTTGAACACCAGCCGAGAAACGTAAGGAAGGAAACCCAGAAGCGCAGGTAAGTGGTGGCTATTTGTTGAGCACAGAAGATGGGACAAAATGCCACTGAGAGACCGTCTCCTGCTACACACCTCCCAACGTCCGATAAGAACCCACAGGCTGGGCCTCCTCCGGGTGCCGTCGACCAGACAATGCCGGCTGGCAACCACTCAGGGGAGAGCCTTTTCTGTAGCTGCTCCGGACCCTTCCCACCCTCGCGGCCTTCCAAAAAGCCACCAAGACCTGGCTGTTCCGATAGGCCTGGGGTTGCTGATCTATAAATCAGGTCCAACCCCCAGCTAAGCCAAATGTATGTTGTGTTTTTTAAACTGTTTTTGTTTCTCTCCCCTATTTGTAATTTTATTTTATCTCGTATTTGTAAGCTGCCCAGAGTCCTCCAGGATTGGACAGCATATAAGCTCATTAAATTAAAAATTACGAATTCACTTCGTTTTCTCCCTGACCAAGACATTGCAAGGGAGGAGACACAGCAGAACATGGCTGGATTACACAAGAAGCAGCATTTTGAAGGAAAATAAGAACATCAAATCACGACGGTGCCATTTAGGTAAATCCAGGCGGGTCAAAGGATTCGTTGCAGCAAAGAGAAATGCTGAGGAGCTCTTTAATACCCAGGCTCCACAAGTTACCTGTAATTAAATGTATATATCCCTGGGTTATAAAGGTAATTAAATCCATCTGTATGCATGCCTTTGCTACGCTCAATCAACACAGCTTATAATTACAGAACGAGATATGATTTTAGTGATAAATAAAACTGTAACCGTACCGGCTAGGAGGTGGCTCGGAATATAACAACTCGGTTGGTATCCTTCCAATGACCGTGTTGGGGAGGGGGGGGAGAATGAGATGCACACCACAACACAATTACATGCGCTTCCCTCTTCATTGAAAAAACCCAGATGCCAAGAAATGGAGCCTTTGAACTACAGGAACCAACCATTCCTGCTCTCTCACCAGGCCAGCGTGAGGCTTCAGGGGGAAAAGCGGATGATCCCAGAAGAGCATCCAAGGAAAATCTCTGGGCTCGTCCCTTTCCCAACCGGACCTTCTCCCAAAGCTGAGCCAAGCGTCCATTGTCTGAAACGGTTCTACCGCTGGCTCAGCTGGCCAAGGGCTCCTGCAATCCTCCCATGAAGGAGGAGGAGGAGGGGAGGCAGGAAGCTGACTCCACACGGGGGCCCTTTTCCTTCAGAGGAATCGCCAAGAAACAGGCAGGATCTGAACTTGAAAGGATGCCGACTGCACATCCTGGCCTAAAAATTGAAATGCTTTAGAAATGGAAGGGAGGGAGGGGGGGAGGGAGAGAGGGAGGGAGAAAGGGAGGGTCAGGGGGAGAGAGAGAGAGAAGGAGAGAGAGAAAGAGAGAGAGAGAGAGAGAGAGGGAGGGAAAGAGAGAGGGAAAGAGAGAGAGAAAGAGAGAGAGAGGGAGG